CTTTATGTCCCACACATCTAGACCTAGTTTTATGCAACATGCTATAGTTACCTAACACTTGCAGTCACAGGGGTTATATTTAACTGCTACATTACACTATTTCTACCATTGTAAAGTTCACTAGAACCCCAGTACCCATCTTTCTGACATCTTCTCTATCATCCCTTACTAGCCACAACTCAGAACCATCGGTCTCATTTATCCAGACTACCAATCCAGATGGTCTGGTATGATATACTTCTGTATCCTTTTCCTCTGGTGAACCTGGCGGCCTGGTTGATTATGTGCTCCTCTACACATATTTGTCGTCCGGTTTTAACCTTTAGTTCCTATGAAGGTGTTTTATGGGCTTCAACCAGTTCAATGGTACTGTCGAAAGTTCATGCTACCCAGTTGAAGATATTATAGATATAAGTTGTTGTAATTTTCTTTTGACTTGTTGTCTTTTAATGCAAACTTGACATATATTAGTTTTTTTTTAAGCTTTCTTGAAATTTTTTGAACATAACTTATAAAATGAACTAAGACTAAGTTTAATATCTAGATATTGTAATTTTAATTTAAAATATATATCACCTTTTGATTTTTTTAAAAAATACACTTTATTTATTTTAAAATTTTGTTTCATTTTGTAATTAATGATCTTCATAAATTATTATAAAGAAATTCACTAATAAGTTACTTTGTACTTTCATTAATAAGTAATTGTAATGATAATATAATCCTTTAATAATTAGTTAATAAAAATAATAATTAATTGACCTTTTGAACAGCAGTCTTAAAATGATAATTACTGAAATGAAATCCAAAATCTTTAAGCTTTGATTGACTTAAAATTTTTGCTAATAAAGAAAGTATGTTTGATTTATTTTTTAGATTTGCATTAGCATGTATAATTTTAATGTTATTAATTATTTGATTTATTTTTTTGTTAGGCATAATAATTTTGTACTAGCACAATAGGAAATCCTTATATGGATAAAAGAAAAAAAAGATTTTTTTTTTTATAAATAAAAATTATTAATACTGATACATTAGTGATAGAGATGTAATTGATTACGTAATTGGTCTGATTTCAAAAATTATTACCCAAATTTAGAACTATAGCAATTAATTAAATGAAGTCACAGATATAATATGAATTAAATTTATGAAAAACGTAATTATTATCGAATTCTATGAAATTTCGCTATAATAAAAAATAATTACAATTTTATGTAATTAAAAGTAATACGTAGGTATTTATTTCATAACAATGATAGATTATATTTAATAAAGATTTATTTTATGATTTGAATTTCGACAATTTCGATTTCGAAAAATATAATAATAAATCGAAAATTGATCAAATTTAAAATCAAAATCAAAACTGAGTTCGAAAGTTCAGAATTTCGGTCGCATGTATAAAACTTTAACAATTTCAGGAATCTGTACTTGGATTTTGATGATTTTGAGCTATTACGTACCTATTATCCTGTGCATGATCATGTTTTTCTGGATATCACATATGTATGACTATATTCAAAGTTGATTTTTATAATTCAATGTATTTCTTAATAGATTAGAAATAGAATGTACAGTACGAAGTAAAGTTCAATACCATTAAAATCAGCTTTTGAATACGGCTTATCTTGATATGCACAATGCGCGGATTTTTACATTAATTTAACAAAACATTGAATTTTACTGATTTGTTATACTGTTTTTATTGGACTGGATTATATATTTTATGACCTTATGACTGGTCATAAAGGTCATAAGGGTCATAATAGGTCATATGCCAACACTGATAAATAGTTTATATTTTTACATGGACGTATGAACCTTGAATCAGTTTCATAATTTTAGATAAATATATTGCAAATACATCAAATAAAAAAGCAAGCTCTTCTTTAATATATCAAGAATAGTGCCAAAAACATTTTAACGCATTGGGATTATTAATAAAACTCTTATAATGTATTTTCTGCTGTTAAACACTATTACAGAAGATTTAATGATTTTTGTAATATATCTAAAAATCTATTTTATCATTATGCTCGTCCCGACAATAATTAATAAAAGTAAATATTCTTGCATACAATGAAAAAAGAAAAATTCGCTAGAAATTGGGCCCATAAGTTTTTTGAGATTTAGTCTTTAGTACGTAAGTACGTGGAACATAGGAAAAACCCTTAATCATAAAGTATATCAGAAATATAGTATCTAGCACATAATTGTTTCCAAAGAAACATATAACCTTAATAAATTCTCGAGCTGCATATATAGTATTCTTAATTCTTATTGTTTTAATCATAGAGAATTTCATTATTGTCGGAACGGCAAAGTAGTATGATAAGTGGTCATTTCAGAAAACGTGGTATTCATGGGTGATGATGTACGAACATTAGCAAAAGGTAGACCAATCCCTTCTCCAGGTCCTTTATCGGTGAAAGGAATGAAATCATCATCGAAAATAGGAAGTGAGTCAAGTGTAGAAGTGTTATACCAAAATGTGATGTCAGCATGCAAAGCATCAAAATAATTCAAAGATTCATCGAATGTTGCGAATTGGGTAGGAGGATCATCCATCGACATGGAATGAACAATAGTTTGGACAGTAGAAGTTTGAGCATCATGAGGTGGAGTTTTTTCCAAAGACATTTGTTTATCTTGCGAAGTAGAAAGTGCTTTTTGAGTATATGCAGGATTGTTGAAGCCATTTTGTATTCGCGATTTGCGACGTGAAAATGTTAACGATTTCTGGCGGATAGTTGTGAGTAAGTTCTTAGCTTCCCCGGCAATTCTCAAGTATTCATCTTTTACCCAATTTGGTTCCGATTTCCAAGATAATGATGCCATAGAAGAAACATCGGTCATTTTAAAGGCGTAATCCTGAGCTTGCAATTGTTTAACGTACATTCGTCGATATATCAGAAATGCATTTGGTGCGCGAGCAGGAACTTCTCCATCTTTTTTGTGAAATATTAGTTCCGTAGCTGAAATTGAAGGAGGAAAGGGCACTTTAACGGAAGGACAGTCAGTAATTTTTTCAGGTTCATGAATAAATAAGGGTTTTTGATGAGGGGTCTGATCAAGCAAATACATGTTTATAGTTAATCATAAGGCTGGAAGCGCTTGATAATTATAACGAAAGGGATTAAATCTTAGATGAGAGTTCCTGCGATTGTAAGAATACAGGACGAAATTTGTAAGGTCTTTTTATAGGTTTTGCGAATTAGACAAGAAGGTTGATTACAAAAAAAAATATATACAGTATATAGAATCTGCATTTTTTTCCTGTAGAAATTGTAGAAATATATTTATGATATATTAGTTTATAATTGATTTTCCAAACATAAATAATGGCATCATTTTCTTTATATGGTTCGTAAGGATAATGAAAATGATTAACTTGGAATAAATGAACTGGTATGTAAATAAATCTGCGCACGTCGTTATGTGATGTACGATCAAATTAATTTAGACATCAAGTATAGAGACTTGCTTAATGCTAATTCATTGGCGTGGCCGCAGTTACTAAATTTGGGTACACTGTAACTCTTTTTTTCATTGAAGCATATCCAGGACCTCGGTCCACAACATGCGTGGGTTCTTTCGTGACGAACTTTAAATTCCAAAAACGCAGAGCAGTAAGTCCTCAAAATAAGTCCTTTTTGTAACAATTATAATCATCAGTCTGGCAAATAAGCTTAATGTGCTTGTGTCACGTGATGGTGACCAATTTTATACCAAAATATGCTTTTATCCGCCAGAAGCTCAATGAACAATTAATGTTACACGTGTGTATGCTAGCATCCATTATCCATTTAATTAGCCATACTCATTAATTCCTATGCATTTGAATATTTTATTGCGAATTTTCTTTAACATCCACACTCGGTATGAAATATTTCGTTATCAACAAACATTTTGGGATGTTTGAAACCTTGTTATTGAAGATCTACCATAAACTATATACCATTAATGTAAATTTATATCGTGAACACAATCGTTTGCCACAACCTTTCATGAAACATGTTAGGATTGTAATACCATGTGTATATAGTGCAGATAAATAATAAACTTTTTCCTTGGCGACACTTTCAGGAAAGCTTAATGATTGGCTAATTTACGGTTGTTCCCCTCTAATGCTAACGATATGCTTTATAAAATAATCTAATAATGATCTAATCGGCGCGTACACTAGTGATACAAGCCAAAAATGGTTTTTTTTGATGTAGTTCGTAAGGTCAAGCGTAATTATACATGCTGTAGAAAGTATTTCGGCATAATTTCTACCCGAATTCTAGGTCTATGATTTTTGATTGGCTATACTACATGATCATTTAAAATTTTTATCATGGTTTCTCAACGACTACCATATCATATTCGATGAATTTTTATTTTTATTTTTTATTTTATTAAGATTGGTCTGGTAGTTATCAAAAAATATTTGCTTAAAATTTTCAAGGGTTTAATCCACCAAGCCAATCAATAAAATTTTTTTATTTCAATTTTACAAATTTATGGAATTAAAATAAAGAAATTTTAATTGAGTTTGGCTTGGTAGTCATAGAAAACTTTCGATTAAAGCTTTGAAAATTTCTGAATGTAGAAGCTGCGATTTTATTTATTAAACTTTACATATTTCTCAATGATTACCTGACTAAATTCGCCAAAAATTTTTATTATTTAAGTCCTACAGACCTATAAAATTAAAATCAAAAAATTTTCATCGAATTTGGTCAAGAAATTTGCATTTGAATTTTTAAAAATTTTATGTACTTTTTTTTTAAAAAAAATCGTAATTTCATGTTTAAATTTTTTTTTAAAAAATTTCTCGATAATTATCCAACCAATTCGATGAAATTTTTATTACTATAATTACACAGGTCTATAGCATTTAATTAAATAAAAAAATTTGTACCGGATTTGACCGGGTAATTGGAAGTGTCTCGATAACCGTCCAATCAAATTCTATGCCAATTTTTTGTTTTAATTCTATAAATTCGTAAAAAATTTCATTAATTTCAGCTTGGTAGTCAACAAGAAACTTTTGATTAAAGCTTTGAAAAATTTTAAATGTAGAAGCTGCGACTTTATTGATGAAACATATTTCTCGATCAAGCGATAAAAATGTTTTTATTTAAATTCCGCAGACCTACAGAATTAAAATAAAATTTTCATCAGATTTGATCGGGTAGTTATCGAGAAATGTTCATTCAAAGCTTAAAAAGCACGATTTCGATCTTCCTTTCCTAAGATATTTAATTTTTTTAAAAAAAATTTATGCGAATATTCCTCAATACTGTCAGACTAATCTTAATATTTTTTTTTGTTTTAATTTTACAAGTTTATAGGATCGAAATAAAAGGTTCACCAAATTTGATCTGAGAAACCATCAATAAAAGGAACATATAGTATAGCCAATCAAAATCATGGAACTGCCTCTCAGCGGTACCTAGGTTTAATGAATATTGCCTAAGACCACACGGGTATCGATGATCGACGTGCCACAGCTGCCGTAGCAAATATATAAATTATTTTTGGTGTGATGATACGAAAGTTTCAGCGGTTTTTTGAATCCTCAAACTTTAATAAATTTTTTCTCTTTGTCACATTAATAGGAATTGACACAATTATGTTCATAGAGTATACTGCGATAAGTAAAAAAGGAAAAACTTAACCACGTATTATCTAGAACGGCTGTCTTTAAAGAATAAATCAGTAAATCTAGTTTTGCACAAGCTCTTTAGATCGGTGAGTTTTTTTTCTCTCATATTACTATGTAGAGAGACATTTCACCTGAAATAATCTAGTGTACATTCCAAATAGCATGTGACATTCACAAGATAACTCAAAAATGAAAACCATGGTTTTTTTGTTAATTTAATTACTATTTTAAAGATACAATATTCTAAAGATGAATTAAACATGAAAGCCATAAATATGGTTCAAACCATCAAATATTTTTCAATTGAAATGCTTATATGAAAATGTTTTCAATTATTCATTATAGATTGCTAGATCACATTTGGAATTTAAACATTCATAAATATAAAGTTTCAATTCAAATAAATTTGCTATCTATATATGTATATATATATATTTTTTATTTCTTTGACAGCCTTGTTTGAGCTTTAATACAAAATTTTACTAACTGAAACATTATTTATTTCTAGTAATCCATCTTTTGAAATTGCAAGCCTGGCATCATTTAAGTACAAAAACTGCACCTAAATGCGACTCGTCACACTAATTTATTTCTAGATTGGGAAACTTTGTCAGTTCTGTCAAGAACTAAACCAGAATAAATTATTTTTATTCTGCTATCTATATTTGAATTTATTCAGATATTTTTTTATTATTGGTATCCAAATAATTTAACAAATATTCAGATAATTATTTAGATATTAATAATAAAATAGATATTTAAATAAATTCAGACCAAAATGTATAATAAATAAATAGATAAACAGATAATAGATTGAAACTCTAATTAAATAGAATGATTTGAATTTATGTTAAATGTTTTGTTTACATATTTTTTAATAGATTAATTCTTTAGATCTTTATATAAAAATTTAATTTTAATTTCTTTAAATATTAGTATATTGGTATAAATAAACTTAGGTCTTAAGGCATAAAACAAATATAAATAAATTTGGATTTTAAAACATAAGACAAAAATTGTATTTAGTATATTAATTTTTATTTTTATTTATTTTTTTTTTTTTTGTTAAGGTGACCTCTTTGGTCTTTTGATTTTTATTAATAATTTTTTTGATAATATAATTCTATAAACCACTATAGAAAAAGTATACAATTAGCTACACATATAATTTTTCTATATTACTTATTTAAGAAATCTATCTAAAGGTTCTTTACTAATTGCTGTATCTAATATCTCTGCTTGGATGTTTTATTTTAAACTTTTTAAACTTGCATCTGTATTAATATTGCTAGGTCAAACCTAAGTTATTGTCTTAACTTTAAGTCTATTTTATTTTTAAGATAAACCTTTTAGAGCCTTTTGTATCTATTTTTATAACTGACCTAGAATTGCTATGACAAAACCAACACTTGTAATCATAATTATATTATTTAACTGTTATATTTTTGTAGAGTTTACTTAAATTTTAGCATCTACTTTATAGCATATTCTTAATATTTTAATATACTTCTGACATTTTATCAGATCCTCAATTCAGATAGTCTGTATAAAACTACAACTAGTTTATTAATATATTAAGTCAATCTAATATTCTTTTTTTCTAGTTTATTCTAGTAACCTAGTTGGTAATATTTCTAAGACTTTTGGGTATTACAACCTTAGTATTTATTTTCTAAATATAGCTTTTACAGAAATATCATCAAATATTTGTATTATTTTTCTACTCAGATCTTTTTAAATAGACTTCTTGTTTCTTAATTTTAACAAATTTACACAATTACAAAGACTTAACTAAAGTTTGCATTATCTAATATTAGTTTGCATTTTTTTGTATAACATTATACTTATACAGATGCCTTATAACTTGCTAATTATGCTAATATGACTATTATTATAAATAATCTAATTTAATTATTAGAAACAATTGTTATAATATAAATATTACACATAGATAATTATTTAAATTTTCATTGTCAATAGGATTTGAACATCCAACCTAATATTTGAGAGGTTAACAACTTATTTACTTTACTAAATCATTATACTCATATTAATTTTTATAATAAATAATACAATATATATATATATATATAATTATATAAAGTTTTTGAATCTAAAAAAAAAAATTGTTACAAATCTTTTAATTTAATAAAATGTATATATTTTTTTATTAAATAAAAAAATATTTATTAGATATTATATATTAATATTTAAATAATGTCTTTAATTAATATATAATTTTTTTTCCTCTTAAGCAGTCACACTAATGCTTTATTAAAATTTTGCAATTACATTTGTAATTACATAAATATTCTTAACTACTAAGTCTAGCATCATCTGACCATCCTAATAGTACCTAAGTGCGACCTACTGCATTACTTCATACAGAAATAAGCTGCTCATCCAACTACATAAAGTCTATAATTAAAGG